AGAGAGAGAGAGAGAGAGAGAGAGAGAGAGAGAGAGAGAGAGAGAGACAGAAATGCATTAGTCTGGGTTAAGCAAAGCCCAGTCACTCCTGAGTGCATCAATCATGAGTAGTTCAAATAAGGATAGATACACAAGATAGGCCCAATGCCTTTGGTATCAGGGGCAATGTTTAATGGATTCACCAGTGTTTTCAGATATTTTTATCTATGTTTCCCCTTTTCCCACTCGGGAAGGAAGCCTGTCTGACTAGACAATATTAAAGTCAAAACTGGTTGAATAACTAGAAAACGTTCTAATTGCCAAGGGCAGCATTAGGAGAGGAGTGGACCTTGACACTGAGAGAATCTAGCCTGGTTTGGAGTCCTCGTTAAATAGTAGCATCTCAGAGTCTCTCCAGGATGCTGAGTCATTAAGTAGTAAGGATTTTTCTCTAACCTCTTTTCCTCTGGCTCTTAAAAACGGGGGAGTCAACTATCCCCACAGGCCTTTGACAATGGAGAAATCATTAAAATCGGATAACTGAACTCAAAAAAGCATTTATCCAACTAGATTCAAGTCAACCTAGAGACCTAGCCTGGATACCTTGCTCTACAAAATGTGGCTGAAGGAACGGAGGATTTTTAGACCGGAGAAGGGAAGGCTCAGGGGGACTGGAGAGCTGTTTTCAGTGATCTGAAAGTCTGTGGGGAAAGAATTAGACATGGCCCCAGAGGCCAGATTCAGGAGCAATGGGCACTTCTTAAAAAGTTAGGTTTTCCCCCCCAGCAATTTAAGCTACCCCAAAGTGGAATGTATGGCTCCGAAGAGTGTGGTGATTTCACATGACCTAGGGGATTCACAATGGATGATTATGTGTTGGGGATGTCATAGGAGGGATTAAGTTCAGGCTCAGGTCCTTTCTCTGTGCTCAGGCCTGGGATGCTTTCCTTCCTTATCTCTACCTCTTAGAATCCCTGGCTTTCTTCAAGGCTCAGCTCAAACATCACCTCCTCCGTTGAAGCCTTTCCTGATTCCTCATCTGTGATAACCTTGTATCTGTATCTATGTGTTCACATGGGCTCCCCAGCTCCACTGTCTGATCCTCAAAGGCAAAGAGTTTCCAATCCGGTCTATGAGATGAGACTTATAGAATTAGAAAGGCAGTGTGGTATGATGGAAAGAGCTCTGGACTTGGAAGGCCACTGGGATTTTCAAGTCTTAGCCCCACTTTTTACTTGCTTAGCTGTGACCCCAAGCCATTCATTTCCCTTTTCTGGATCTCAGTTTTCTCATCTGTTAAAAGGGGATAACAATAACTCATGGATTATGATGCTCTCGGTATCCTTGTGAGGATTAAATTCAAGACTGTATATGTAAAGTGCTTTGCGGAGGAAAGTGATGTATCAGGGAAGGCTGCCTGGAGGCAAGAACTGGAACATGCAGGGAGTGTGACCTGGAACAGATAGGCCCCTCCCTCCTCTCTGGCCGCCTCCCACAGCATCCCACACCTGAACCCATGCCCAGGAGGAACTTGCGCCCTAGGGCACTGAAGCATAAGGGTGACTGCATTTCTGGAGCTGTATTTCAGGAAAGTCCCAGCCCTTTTTCACTTCCCTCCTTGCTCTGCGGTCACCTCCTTGCTGGCATCTCACCTCCCTCCGTGCACCCTTTCCTTACCCATCCCCTGAAGTTCTAGAATCCAAACACTAGCATTGTTCCTGGATGGGACATATCAACCTACTCACCTAGGGCCCCCTCTCACCCTGTAACTTCCTGGATCAAAGTTCCTCATCCCTGGCCAGCAGTGACCTATATGTATGGTTTCCCCTGTTAGATTGTGAGCCCTCAAGGGCAAGAATTGTCTTTGAATCTTTCTTTATATTTGTATCTCTAGCCCTTAGTATGGTGCTCAGCACATAGCAGGTGCTTATCACATGAATTTTCATTCATTCAGTCAGAAGGCAGCATCCTATAAGCAACTCTCACACTTGTCCATTTTCCTCTATTCACGGTCACCTCCTTAATTAAAATGCTCCTCACCTCCACACCCCCAACAGCCTCCTAATGGGTCTCTCTGCCTCATGGCTCTCCCTTGTCTCCGATCCAGCCTCCACAGCTGATGTTCTTAAGGTACAGGTCGGACCATGTCATTCCCTCATTCAAGAACTTTCCAGTTGTGACTCTGGGTTTTAGGGTAAAATACTTCTGTTTGGCAATTAAAATCCTTCACAGTCTGACTTTCTTTCTAGACATATCAACTTACTCGCCTCCCTGGGCAATCTACATTTCAATCAAAGAGGTCCACTGGCTTTTCCCTGATGGTGACATTCTGTCTACTTGGTGCAGTGGCTGGAGTGTGGGACTTGGAGTCAGGAAGGCCTGAATTCAAATCCTGCCTCAGACACTGACTTGTCGCTTAACTCGCTTGTGCCTCAGTTTCCTCATCTGTAAAATGGGAGCGATAATCACACCTACCTTGCAGGGCTGTTGTATCAGTTGAGTTAACCTATGTGCAGTGCTTCTTAAAACTGAAAGCAGCCTCACCTCTCGGATACAAAGTGTTTTTGCACACCTTGACTCATTCAGGGGGGGTCTTTATTGTCCCCAAGGAAGGAAACTGGCCGAGAGATGGAGTGACACATGGCTGGTAAACGGCAGAGTTGTGGTTCTTTGGATCACAGGGTTTAGAAGGCAGAGAGCCTTTGGGAAGATTGAATTCATCCAGGGCCCCTTCACTTGAGTTCCTCAGCGGGCCCACAGATTTGGGTAGGAAACAATGCCATCTTTATTTTCACCATTAGCATTTCTGTCAGTTATTTAAAACCATGATTTTGAGAAGTCACAAAAAATGCTAAGGACCTCATTTTTTTTCCATATGAGGCAACTGAGGCCCGGTTGGGAAAAATGACTTGCCCAAGGTGTCACAACTAGTGATAAGTACCAGGATTCAAACCCAGGTCTTCAGCCTTCAAGTTCTATTCTTTTTTCCACAGTGCCAAAAGCAGGATAAGAAGAAACAGACTTTAACTGCAGCAAGAGGGTCTGGGGCTAGACAATGTAAAAAGAACTCCAAGACCCCAAGGGTCATGAGACACAGGATGAGATTGCAGAAGACTGTCCTGGACTGTCGTGGCCTTCGGGCAGATGCCCACCTCCCAACCTGAAAGGGTGGGTGAAATGCTCATTTACATCACGGCCTGTGCCAGCATTAGTTAACCCCAAGGTTAACTAGGAAGAGAACAGGGCTAACCCCGGTTCCACCGATGTAATTTAGTAACAGGGTGATCCGGGACCCAGAGGTAGTTTGACAAAATCTCCTCTGCCGGGATCTTAGCTTTCCCACGGATTCTGAGGTCCAGCATTTCCTCCAGGCGGGACCTCCCTTGGTTTGAGCGGGGAGCTGCCAGGATCCTCACGGGGCAGAGCCTGGGGGGCACCTGACCCAGGTAAACAGAACCTCCCTGGAAGAGCTCACCTACATAAACTGAAATCCAGGCTCAACTCAAGGTCAGTATGTGGTAGCTGTGATGGTCTGAACTGGTAGGGAGCCAGGGTCCACATCAGTACCAACCAGTGACAGCTTGGTAAGATTTAGCGCTGGTCATCTAGTCTCTCCCCTTTCTTTTACAGGTAGATGGGGGCATGATGTGCCTGAGGTCACACAGACAGTGAGAAGCAGAGCTGAGACGGGGACTAGGGCCTCTGACCCTGCATCCGGAGCTCTTTCTATTGGCTACACCACCTTTGCCTCTTGGGGCTGGCTGGTGTCTACGCAGACTCATCTCAGGCTGGGCCCCCATGGCGTTTGCAGAGCTCCTGGAACACGTTGGCAGCCTGGGGAGGTTTCAGATCTTTCAGATCGTCTCTCTGGTCATACCCATCATATGTGTCACCCCTCACAATCTGCTGGACAACTTCACGGCGGCTGTTCCCGACCATCGCTGCCGGCACCCCTTGCTAGACAATGCTATGGCCTCCCTCAACGTCACCAGAGGCCTGGATCCTGATGCCCTCCTGAGGGTCTTCATCCCCCTGGACAAACACCAGAAGCTGGAGAGATGCCGTCGCTTCCTCCACCCCCAGTGGCAGCTGTTGGAACTCAACGCATCAGCCCCAAATGCAAGCGAGGCAGACACAGAGCCTTGCCTGGATGGCTGGGTCTATGACCGCAGTGACTTCTCCTCCACCATTGTGTCAGAGGTCAGGGGCTCCCTCCCTCTAACGCCTCTCTTCCTTCCCCATCTCCCAGTCCCCCAACACCCACGTAGCAGAGCATGTTCCAAATGGCTTGTTTAGGGTGGAAAACAATTCCTTCCCATCATGCTCCTCCCGACCCCTTCTACTCTCAGTGTAGAGGACCTGAAGAGGCAAAGCCTCGGGTCCAAGTATCAGCGCTGCTATTAATGATCTGTGTGAACTTCTCTGGGCCTCAGTTTCCAAGTATGTGAAATGAGATGGCCCCTCCCCCAGCTGATATCCCAGGTTCTAGGGGCCTTCGGTGTTCCATGTTCCAAGCCCCCTCCCAGCCCTGACAGTCCATGAAGCTGCTTCTCTCAACCTCTGCTATTTGCTTCCCTTCTGATATAGTGGGATATGGTGTGTGACTGGCAGTTCCTGAAGCCCATGGCTCAGTCTATATTCATGGCAGGCATCATGACTGGAGCTATTATATGTGGTCTTGTCTCCGACAAGTGAGTGTCTTCTGGTTTGAGCTGCTCTCATTCCCCCAGCTGCATACAGATCCCTCAGCACTGGGGACAGAGATCTTGGGGGACCCCTCCCCATCTGTCTCTGTGCCATGGCATCTTGGTCCCACTGAGTCGCCCTAGATTCACTTCCTGTGTCACAGGTTTGGGCGGAGGCTGGTACTGAGCTGTTGCTACCTACAGTTGGCCATCACTGGCACCTGTTCTGCTGTTGTCCCTAACTTCTTCCTTTACTGCTGCCTCCGTTTCCTATCAGCCTTTGCCGTGGCTGGCATCACGATGAACGCTGGGATACTCAGTAAGTATGGTGCCATGGGCCTGTCCCAAACCCTGAAGTCATGCCTCAAGAGCTCCCCTTAGATCAGCATCTTTCTCACCCTTCAAGGCACAGCTCAAATGCCTCTCTTCTGCAGATTTCTCCAAGATCTGTACCCCCTCCCCAGCTAGAAGCCAGCTTTTCATCATGTCTCATTTGCATCCTCAGATGCTTAGATGTTCTAATTTGCATGGTTTTTCTGTGTCTGTATCTCATCTTCCCTGTAGTCAGCTTGAAGGCAGGTATTGTATCTAGTTTAATTTCTCTCAGTATCTAGCACAAGGCCATGCATAGACTAGGTCCTTAATAAATGTTTGTTGAGTTACTGAAAGACTATAGAGATGCTTGCATGGTGAATGTATGGAAGACTGAATGGATGGATGGATGAGTGCATGGTTGGATGGATGGATGGGTGGATGGATGGATGGGTGGATGAATTTATAGACAGACAAATTACATGCTGCTGAACACTACAGGAGAAAGTCATTCATTCCTGTTGACTGTATTCACTACAAATTTATGAGATATAATTTCAACTGGGTCTTCACTGTGGCACGGCAATCCTTTTATTCTTCTCTGATTGACTCGTTATCCTACTCTCTATGGATACCTTTCCAAACCCTTCCCTGACTCCCCTCTTGTTCTTCCCACTTCCTCTTGATGGAGGCCATCTGTCTTTAGCTTCATCTTCTCTTCCATTCCATGTCTCAAAGCTCTTCTTAATTATTCCCCATTTTCTCTTCCTTTGCTCTAGTTTGTGATGAAGTGACCCCTTCCCTTGACAAAGCTAAACTCTTCACTTGTGCCCTTGATTCCATCTCCTTTCATCTCATCTAGGACCTTGACTCCTCAATCATTCTTTTCTTCCTATCATCTTCAATCTGTCCTCATCCACTGACTTCTCCACAACCTATAAATGTGCCTATACTTTCCTTATTCTTAAAAAAAACCTTACCGTTCTTGGACCCTGTCATCCCCTCCAGTTATCGTCCTATATTCTCCTCCCTTTCACTTGGAGCCAAACTCCAAGAAAGGCTTGTCTTACCTTGATTTCTATTTCCTCCCTTCCCATTCCCTTCTCAGCTCTTTGCAGTGTGGACTATGACCCCGCCACTTGACTGAAATGACTCTTTCCAAGATTGTCAATGATTTGAGAATTGTTCCAATTGAATGGCCTTTACTCAGTCCTCCTTTTCTTGACCTCTCTGAAGTGTTTAATACCTTCCATACCATATCCATCCCCTGTCTCATACATATTTTGCATCCTATCCAGTTCTCCTCCTACGGATTTGATTATTCCTTAGTCCCCTTTACTAGCTATTCCTTCTCTTCCATTTACTGAGGCAGCTAGGTGGTGCAATGGATAGAGCACTGCACCTGGAGTTAGAAAGACCTGAGTTCAAATCTGACCTCAGACACTAGCTGTGTAACCCTGGGCAAGTCACTTAACCTCTGTCTGCCTCAGTTTCCTAATCTATAAAACAGGGATAATAATATCACTTACCTTCCAGGGTGGGGTTGTGGGGGTCAAATGAGATAACATATGTACAGTACTTTATAAACTTCAAAGTGCTATCTAGCTGCTGACTATTTTTACTCAGTAACTCCAAAAGCTGCCCAAAGCCCTTTCCTTTTTTATTTCTCTGCGCTCTCATTTGAGAAGGCCATAGGCTCCCATGAGTTTGAGTAGCTCCCATATCTAGATATTCAGTCCTAACCTCTCTCCTGAGTTCCAGTCCCACATCACCAACTTCCTTTTGGACAGCTCCACCTGGATGTTCCAGTGTTACCTTTCCCCCCAAACCGTCCTTTTCTCCAGAATTCTCTCCCTTCTATTGCAGGTCCCAGCATCCTACTCTCTGAGGTGTGCAAGTTCAGTCATTATTCACCATTCTCCCTCATCTCCTGTATCCATTTCTTGTCCCTGGCTTGCCACAGCCTCCTCTCCACGATCTCATTCTTTCCACTCTCCACTGTTTGTGGCCACCACCTTAGTTCAGGTCCTCATCACCTCTCACCTGGACTGTTGTAATGGCCTTCTAATTGGTGCAGCTGTTGTTAGCATCTTCCCACTCCACAGTTGCCAGTGACATTCCTAAAACACACAGGTTTGACCAATACGCTTCTTTTTTTTTTTTTAAGGCAATTGGGGTTAAGTGACTTGCCCGGGGTCACACAGCTAGTGTCAAATGTTTGGTCTGAGGCTGGATTTGAACTCAGGTCTTCCTGACTTTAGGGCTGGTGCTCTATCCACTGCGCCACCTAGGTGCCCCTACCAATCCACTTCTTATGCTAAAAAATCTTTTGTGCTGCCTCTGGGAAAAAAATACAAATGCCTCTGGTTGTCATTTAAAACCATTCACCACCTGATTTCCACCAGTCTCCTTAGTCTTGGAAGGGAATTGTGGGTATTGAGTGGACCACACTGACTCTATCTTGTGACTCGATTCTAAATCTAGCTCAGGAACCATCTTCTACACATTCCCTTTCTCTCCCTCTTGAAAGGATGTTGGACAAACTTTATATTTACTACCTGGGTAAACATTGTAACCCTCTTCCCTCAAGAGAATATGAATTCTTTGAAGACAAAGATGGTTTCCATTTTTGTCTGAATACACCCAGTGCTTTGTACGTAGTACATCCTTAAGACATGTTTGTGAAATGGAATTGAATGGAGTGGATAAACGACTGAGCAGATGAAAGGCTGGATGGCTGAATGAGTGAGTGGATGAACAAATGAATGAATTAATGAAGTTGTTCTTGTGTCTGGGCTTCCTTTCAGTGATAGAGTGGACAAAAACCCAGGCTGGGGCCACTGTGATGACCATAAGTTCTCTTGGGTTTAGTGTTGGTGAGTTCCTCCTATCAGGGGTTGCATATGCCATCCGGGACTGGTGCTTCCTCCAGCTGGCTGTGTCCGTGCCCTTCGTCCTCTTCTTTCTGTCTTCGTGGTCAGTGTCACTGGGGGCTCCACCTGGGATGGATTCCTTGTGGCTAAGGTGACATGAGTGGGAAATGCCTCACGCTTGGAGAAAAGTGAGACTGGCTACTGCCACCCCTGAAGACCAGCACAGCTGTCTATGTATTGTCTTCCTACTACAGCCAAAACAGGCTGTCATTTTGCCACATCAATCAGAATACCTAGGAAAGATGCATGCTGTTTTATAAGGGGAAACGGAGGTCCAGAGCCTGTGTTCAAGGCAGTGGCAGAGCCCAGGCTAGAACACAGTCGCCAGATTCCCAGTCCAAGGCTCTTTCAGCCATGCCCCATTTCCTCCTCATCCCATCTGGCACAACCAGGATGTTTGCTAGTACCTGCTGAGGTGGTTTGCTCAGAGAATACATAAGCCAGAAAGGCGGCAAGATTCCAGGATGGGGGGAGGGCCATGTGGTTCTCTCCTTCAGAATCAGCAGGCAGGTGGATCCTCTACATTAAACAGGTGGCTGGCAGAGTCTGCCCGTTGGCTCATCGTCACAGGCAAAATAGATCAAGGGCTCCATGCACTCAGGAGAGTTGCAGGAATAAATGGGAAGAAGGACGCTAGAGACACCTTGACCATTGAGGTAAGAAGGAAGGTTGGGCTCCTTTAGAGAGCTGAGGAATGGGGTTAGACATATCCAGTGACTCCCCTTTCCCATCCACGAGGCAGCCTGGGGCAGGGTTGGGAGCGGTGACGCTCCGCCCTGGACCACTAGGGGGCTCCTGCTAGAGCAGGAAAGAGTATGAGATTTGGAGTCAGGAGACTGGCTGGGGAGCATTGTGCAAATCTCTATTGCCTCAGTTTCCTCAAAAAGTCTCAGAGTTGGAAGGGACCTCAGAGGTTATCTGATCCAAATAACTCCTGACTTTCATATACATATATAATATGTGTGTATGTATGTACATGTATATATGTATACACACATATGCATACACACAAATAGAAACATATATATTATATATATATATATATATATATCTACACATACATACACACATAGGTAAAACACGAGGTCACGCAGGCCCTGCATGAAGACCTCTCTCTAGTGAGGAAGGATCCCTTTCCTCCCACGTCAGTCCGTTCCCAGGGCAGATAGCTCTAATTCTCAGGAAGTTTTTCCTTCTATCTAGCCTACATCTGCCTCTCTTCCCTTTCTCTCATTGCTCCCAGTTCTGGTCTCTGGTGCAAAGCAAAAGTTAAAGTCTCCTCTCCGTGAAAACCTTTCAGATATTCAATGACCGCTGCCACGTCCCCCCTACACCTTCTCCTCTCTGGGCTGAATGTCCCCACTTTCCCCAATTGACTCTCACTGGACACGAGCCCTTTAAACGCCCAGGCTGGCCTCCTCTGGACGCGCTCCAGCTTGGCGACCGATCAATACACATTTATTAAAATGCCTATTCTGTACCAGGCCCTGGAGACATAAAAACGACAAATGAAACTCTGCCCTTAAGGAATTTCCATCTTAACAGGGGAGAGAAGAATGGCTACACCTCTCCACAAGGTGGTTTGAGAGGCCGGGTGTCTTTTCAGACAGTCTGAGAAGCCTTTGGCATTCTCATTTGAGCTTGCAGCCCGCTATCTGTAAAGGGAGGTGGTCTTTATTCTAGGACTGACATCTACAATCTTAAGCAGCTCCAATCATCGATCACATCTTTCTTTAGGGTTACAAAGTACTCTCCTCACAGCAGTGCTGGGAGATAGGGTTGCTATGCTATCCTCACTTGACATATGGGGAAACTGAGGTTCAGGCAGGTGAGGTTAGGTGTTGTTCAGTCATATCCAACTGTTCGTGACCCTATGGACTATAGTATTGTCCTTGGGGTTTTCTTGGTAAATGATACTGGAGTGGTTTACCATTTCCTTCTCCAGTGGAGAAAGACAAACAGGTTAAGTGACTTGCCCAGGGTCACTCAGCCAGTAAGTGTCTGAGACTGGATTTGAACCCAGGTCTTCCTGACCCTGGACCCATCACTCTATGCACTATGGCACCCCCTAGTTGCTAACGCCAACCCTAATCCTACCTGCCCCAAGTGACACAGGTAGTGTAGGAGCAGGGATTGGAACCCAAGCATCCTGGGCCTAATTTCAGTGCTCTCTGGCCCTCTCGTGGAGGTCGTGGGGCCAGGGCCTCTGGGCAGCCAGTGTCTGTGCTCCGTCAGCTTAGTCTGGCCTTAATGTTTTCCTACCCCTTCCTCAACCTCCTCTGCTTGCTTCTCCAGGACAGGAGGATTCTGTGTGTTCTTTGCACAGGGCGCCCCCTGGTGGCTCAGGGAGTTAGCTCTACATGGCCTAGGGTCTCATTTTACAGATGAGGAAAGTGAGGCTCATACAGGTGATGCAACTTGCCTAGGGTCAAATAGGTAGTAAGGATTGAAGGTGGGATTCAAACCCAAGTCTTCCTGACTCTCTAAGTCTGTCAGTCCCCACCTAGTCTACACTGAAGGACAGGGGAAGGGTAGGAGATACTCTGGCCAATGCAGAAAATCCTAGTGGCCATTGCGTGACAGGCAGCTGGATCTGATCATAGTCTGCCATAAGTAAAAGGGCTCATCTAATTCCCCATTTTACAGATAAAGAAACTGAAGTCCGGAGAAGGTAAGGAACTTACCCAGGGAGGGTCGCAAAGCAGGCTGTGACAGAACCTGTTGTTCTGATTCCAAGGCCAGGGCCCTTTCCTTGAGCCCTGGTCCAAGGGATGGATGCCAGTGACCCTGACAATGTAAACAGACTAGATCAGGGCATGAAAGCCCATGGTCCAGAAAGATTTCTAGACAAAGATCTCTCGCAGTGGCAATCATGGGCAGGGAGAAGCCATGAATAGAAGGCTACTTCCAGGACACGTGGGCCACAATGGCTCCCAGCTCTTTCTCTCTTCAGAGACTGACATCTTCCTTGTGTCTCCCTTCCTAGACTGTGAAATCCGCCATGCGAGAAGATTTAATGGTGACTAAGACCAAGCACTCAGAGGTGGATCTCTTCCGAACCCCTGAGCTACTTAAGCGGTTTTGTGGCATGTTCTCTGTGTGGTAGGTTCCTGTCCCTGTGGCAAGCTGAGTTGCAGCTTGGAGATCATAGGGGATAATTCCCAGCTTCGTAGTAGGGGAGGATCCAGAGCCTGGCTCAGTAAAGAGAGGAGGAAAGAAGGTCCTCTCTGACCCCTCCCACCATCCTGTCCCCCTTGCACCCCATCCAGTCTGGCAGGAGAGGGGGCAAAACTCAGCAAAGCTATCCCAGCCTCCCTAGGGTTACCTACCTGTAAGTACTGCGTGCCCGTTGGCTCAGGAAGCTAATGTGCTCAACATTGCCCCATCAGGTGAGCCTGCTCTGGGACATACAAGCATCCTCTACTAAAGCAAACCATAGAATCACCGAACATCAGAGATTGGGGTCTGGGGGAATCTGAGCACTGAGACTGTCAGAGCTCGGAAGGACCTTAGACTAGAAAAAAAAATCAGATATGGGAGGTGTGGGGAGAGGTGAGGAACTTCCGAACACAAAATATCAGAGCTGAAACTGGGAGGAACCTTAGAGCATGGAATGTCTCCAGCGGGGAATTCCCTCCTGGGTGGGGGGTAAACTGGGGAAGACCCCCAATAACCCCAGTGGGCAGGGGGAAAGTGCCCTCACCACGTGCCTTTTTCTGCTGCCGTCTCTCCTAAGGTTTGCCATCGGTTTCGTCTTCTATGGACTTATCCTGGACTTGCAGAACATGGGGAGCAATCTTTTCTTGCTCCAGGTACTCTTTGGGGTCATTGATATCCCAAGCAAGACAGGCTCCTTCTTTGCCATGAACTACATAGGTCGGCGTATAACCCAGGCAGGCTCCTTGATCCTGGCTGGTCTCTGCATTCTGGCCAACGCGGTGATAGCCCAGGGTGAGTCAGAGATGACCAGAGGCTTGTGGTGCCTTTGCTCCGTTGACCAATCATTTGTAAACACCTAGCACGGGCCAGACCCTCAGCAATCTCCTGGAAATACAAAGACAAAAACCACAGTGGCTGCCCTCTAAGAGCTTACTGTCTCCTGTTAAAAGCACAGAAGCCTGTGTCTCTGCCTTCAGTGCTCTTTAGGTTCCCCTAATCCCTTGGACGATTAGAGTATCAAGGAATTCTCTAGGGGGGGTTTTAGCACCTGTCTGGCAGACACGGGGCCCCAACTCAACCCTCTGATACAGGAGACTCTGGGAATGACCGGCCAAGGTGAGCTACCCTGTCATCCCCAGCACCCCTCCTGATAGAATGATGGTGCCAGCCAGTGACAAAAATAATAATGACAATCTGCACTAAGGGACCCTTTAAAGTTGGCAGAATGCTTTATGCATTTGGTCCTGACAGTAACCCTGGCAGGTACAGGTGCTCTTGTCACCCCATTTTACTGGCAAGAAAACTGAGGCTAATAGTGATAATACTAGCTAGCACTTATGTAGGGCTCTAAGGTTTGCAAAGTGCTTCACAAATACGATATTGCTGGAATTCAAACTCAGGTCTTTCTGACTCTGAGGCAGTGATGCCGCGCTGCCTCTGTCATAAGATTATAGGTTTAAAATTGGAAAGAAACTTTGAGGTCATTTAATCTAGCCCCTTTATTTTACAGTTAAGAAAACTGAGGCCCAAGGAGATTAGATGACTTGGCAAGGTCACACAATGGAAGAGGAGGAATTGGAACCCCAGTCTTCTAACTCTCCATTCTGCACTGCCTCCTATTGATCAATGCACTATTATTAAGTGCCAGGCACACAAAACCATAAATGAACCAGTCAGTCCCTGCCCTCAAAGAGTTTATGTTCTCTTAGGGAAAACATGTGCACACATAAGCAAGTACACTATATATATCAGAGACAATCTACGGAGATACAGTTGGCAGATAGATACAAAATATTCTCTCCGTCCTCTGGGAAGGAGCCACTGTCTGAGGCAAGGGGACTGGATCCCTGCTGGGAGTCCTCCCCATTGTTCTCCCCCTCCCCCATCATGCTTCCCCTCACGCCCACCCCCTTCCTTCCTCACTCCCCATCATTCCCACAGAGCTGCAAGTCCTGCGGGTGACCCTGGCTGTGCTGGGAATTGGCTTCGTGGGCAGTACCTACACTGTTCTTTCTATCTACAGCAGTGAGCTTTTCCCCACAGTGCTCAGGTAAGGGCAAGTGAGGGCCTAGGCGGTGCCACGAATGTCCAGGGCTACCTTTTACCTTTCTGATCTGGGGCTGGGACATGGGAGCCTGGGAGGTGGCTGCTATTTAGCCAGGATGGACTTGTCTGGATCTGCTATCGTCGCTTCTGCGCTTGTTGTGTGGGCTCATCCAGGATGTGAAGCATGACCCAGGCCGGTGCCAGGGTCTATTAATGCCCTCTCCACAGGCTGTCTCCCTCCCTCTCCCTCTCTCTCTTTCTGTCTCTTTCTCCCTCCCCCCTTCCTCTCTCTCTCTCCCCCCCCATTCTCCCCCCCTCCCTTTCTCTCACCTACACACACACACCATAATGATGACAAGGCTTTGCTGCCCATGCCTCCCAGCTTCTTCTGTAACCTCCATTCCCCCCCTAAACTGACCAAACACTCTTCCTCTGCCTGCTAACACACTCTTCCCTCATGACTCTCATTCCGCAAAAGCAGGAGCCATCTGTCTCTTCTCCCATTTGCACACCTGCAGCCTTCCTCCACCCTGGCACCCCTGAATGTCCCTGGGGAAGTGGGAGGGCCTTCTACAGCTCCCCTCTGGGTCTACTCCTACAGCTGGGGCTTCTGGAGGGAGCTCAGTCCCCCGGGCCTGTCCTGTCCCATCTCCTGACACTCAGGGACCTCTGCAGCTGCAGGAGCACACTTGAAACAGCGTCCCAGTGGCCACCGCCTTCTTCCATGTTAGCTGGGGCTGAGCAGGGCTGTACATACTGCCCAGTCCTTCTTCCCCTGGCAATCCTGTTCTCCACAGAATGACTGCAATAGGCGGGGGCCAGATGGCTATGCGTCTGGGTTCCATCCTGGGGCCTCTGGTGAAGTTGCTGAATCAGTTCAACCCTTTGCTGCCCCTGTTCATCTACGGAGGCGTTTCCGTGATCACGGGCCTAACTGCCCTCCTCTTGCCTGAAACCCTCAACATGCCGCTGCCAGACACCATCCACGATGTGGAGAGTAGGTGAGTATGCCCTGCCCCGGGCAACTGGAGAGAGGCAGGACACTTTGCCATCCTGCAACTGTAGCAAGGTTCTCCATAGACCCAGTGTGATCAGTCTCCCAAAAGTGCATCTTCCTGAAGGAACGGAGGCCTTGGTCTTTATGTTTGTTCTGAGGGCAGCTCAGTGAGCCAGCTCCTGCCTTTAGGGAGCTATTCTATCTGGGCAGGAGGAATCTACACATGTGAGTATCTAGAAAATCACTATTAATCAATCAGCAATTTCCTATAAAGTGCTGACTGTGTGCCAGGCACTATGCTATGTGCTAGAGACATAAAGACAAAAATTCAACATTCCCATACAAGTGGAAGAGGTTCCCTGGTCCCTCCCCTCAGCCCTAAGAGGTAGGCATTGAAGGCGTTATTATCCCTATTTTACAATGGAGGAGACTGAGCTTCAGACACTCTGGCCAAGGCTCACCCAGCTCAAAAATGTCGACGCCAGGACTCAACTCAGGTCTTTGGAGTTCAAAGTCCATTCTCTTTTCCACACCATCCGCTGCTTCATAGAGGGCTTCCTTCCTTCCTTCCTTCCTTCCTTCCTTCCTTCCTTCCTTCCTTCCTTCCTTCCTTCCTTCCTCCTTTCTTTCTTCCTTCCTTCCTTCCTCTTCCTTCTTTCCTTTCTTTCTCTCTCTCCCTTCTTTCTTTCCTTCCTTCCTTCCTTCCTTCCTCCTTTCTTTCTTTCTTTCTTTCTTTCTTTCTTTCTTTCTTTCTTTCTTTCTTTCTTTCTTTCTTTCTTTCTTTCTTTCTTTCTCTCTGTCTTCCTTTCTTCCTTCCTTTCTTTCTCCTCCAAATCTTTCCTAGACAAAGTGATATCCAACTTTGACTGTTCATATTCCTTTCATCTCTAAATACTCTGACACTGATTTCTCTCTGTTTCTCTTTTAGGGGCCGCAGAATGAAAGGTGCAGAACAGGGAGAGAACATTGCAAAGTCGACGAGAATGTAGGACAGTCCTGAGAGACCACAGCCCAGGGCAGAGAGCCAGGCAAGGAGGCTCTGAAAGGGTGACATCCTGCCCCTTATGAACAGCTACAGCTTGGGGAGAGTATCTTGGGTTGGGTGTGAATGCTCATTTATGCAAGAGATGGGGGCACTAGCTGGAGCTGTTCTCTCCCTGCTCCCTCCTTCTCCCCCTCTCCCTGGAATTCTGACCCAGTCGCATCCTCCCATCAGCCCCCTCCCTCTGCTGCCCAAGAGCTCTGAGACACCTCGGGCCTGAACAAAGCTACCAATGTTTCCTCCTGAGCCCTAATTCCAAACGTTAGCACCCTTTCCAGTCCCGAATGCCTTCCCCTTTTCCCTCCTCCCCAGCTTCAGGTTTCTTCTTCCTCTGCTGTGGCGCCAGAGATGGTGGATTGGTAGTGAGAGGATCTGAGTTCAAATTCTGACCCTTCCCATGTCCTGCCTGCATGACCTTGGACAAGTCATTTATTGCCCCCCACCCCTCCACCCCTGTATCAATTTCCTTCTTTGTAAAATGAAGAAGGTGAATTTGGACAAGATGATTCCTGGGTCTTCCCCAACTCTGTGTCTTCATGTATGGCCTACTCCCTTCTCTTGTTACCTTTCAGGGGAGGCCCTGCCCCAGTAGACCTTGGGCCTAGGTCTGGCTGCCATGGCTGCCCTGGCCAGGGTCCCAAGACGGCTTAGTATTCCTCTCCCTTCTCCTTTCCCCCCCGGGGGCTTTCCTAAGACCTGGTATTACACCTTCTTCCTCTCCCCCTAAAAGAGGAAGCCTCACGGGGAGGGGAGGGAAAGGCCTCTGGCTTCCCTGCTAGCTGGTCTCCTGGTTCTGTCTTGTATGGGCTCTCAACAAACTCAGTCTGCATCCAATTCAACTAACATGGTAGAATGTAAGCTTCTCAAGGCAAGAAATGTTTTGCTTAGCACCTGGCAAGTGCCCAGCACATAGTAGGTGTTTAATAAATGCTTGCTGATTGACTGAATGACTGATAGATGCTCACTGTGTGAGAGGCCCCATGCTGGACCGATACCAAGTTTAAAAGTGGTTCCTGTCTCCAAAGAAGACCAAAAGATTTGCAGCTGGAAACATATATATGTATATATGTGTATGTATATATATATATGTTTATAGGTACAGATATGTGTGTACACACATGTACATGCACATGGAGCTCGAGGGAGAGGTAGAGAGGTGTGACATGTACACAGGCAGACGTCTTCCAAGATGTGGGAGATAGGAGTAGATGTGAGGCCCAGGCCAAGGCTGCTGGGAGACTTGAGAGGCAGAGACTTCCTGGACAAAGTGGTCTTGAAGAGAGAGAAGAATTTAGAAGATGGAAATGGGTACAAGGAGGGAACTGTGAGGACAGCATTGAGTCCAGAGAGATGGCGCAGATGGCAAAGTTCAGGGAAGCAATCAAGCCTGGCTTGGCCGCACCGGATTGTAGGAAGGGGCTGTGCCCGGGCTGGGGAGGGAGGGAGCCCCTTTCTCATCTTTACGTCTCAGAATCTTTGTCTTTCAAGGCTCAGCCTCTCTGGTTCCCTTAGCGGCCAGAGTTCTCTCCCTCCTTAAATCTCTCTGCATTCATTGACCCGTGTCCATGTTGTGCTCTGCTCACACACCAACCAAGAACAGAGGTTCTCTGAGGGCGGAGCTCATGCTCTTCTTGTCTCTGGATCAGCTAAAAGCAGGAGCTTCATAAACGCTTGTTGGACCATAGCTGCCTTTCCCTTTTTGGGAGGCAGGCAAAAGTGGAGAGATGGCTGAGGCAGAGAAAGGCACGCAGGAGCTAGGCTCTGGCATCCTCCCTCCCTCTGTGGCTGGGCTGAATGTGGAAGGGGGACTCTGGAGTGAGGAGCATCTTCAGAAATCCCGGATCCCAGAATTCCTTGTCTCTCTGGTATTCTTTCCTGGGCCATCCTTCCCTCTTGGCTAACCAGGTCTGGCAGTATCAGATCTGAGTCTGAATCTCTGTTTTACTTACTTGTGACCTTGGGCTAGTCTCTTCCCCGCTCTTGGACTCAGTTTCTTCTTCTTCATATGTAAAAAGAGGAGGTTGGACCCCAAGACCTTTAAGGTCTCATCCTGCTCTAGACTTTGGATTCTCTGGTTTTCCCCAGCTCTCCTCCACCTCTGACACCTGAAGGTTCAGGGTGGTCAGTCTCTGTCTGTCCAGATCCCATCTGATCACCCCCTCATGACCTCCCCCTGGGAGGTGCACGCGGGCATGGAGGCCTCTGGGGAAATCACCTCTCTGACGGTGAAATCGACCTCTGAGAGGGAGGGCCGGGCTCCCTGCCCACTCCCTGCTGCTCCACCAGGCCTAGGCCTTGTGTCACCATATGGAGCGTACTGTAGGAGGCCGAGTAGCTGCTTCCTGCTTCGGGCTTATGCAGATTAGCTGGTAGGTCAGCTCAGCTTGTCGCTGGGCGCTCCCCCCTCCCTCCCAGAGCACGATGCCCATGGCTCTGCTCTGTGGTGGGGAGGCAGCGTCTTAGAGCTGTCAGGGATCCCCCTCCCCCCTTCCCAGCTTACAAAGGAGGCAAGCTTTTCTGCAATTAAGGGACTGGATCAGAGGAATCTAAGGTCTCTCTCAGCTTCAAACCCTAGCATCCTAGGAATTTGCCCAAGGCCACAGGGCCAGTTAGTAGCAGAGCTGGAACTGGGGAGAGGAGAAGGAAGGGGGGGTGGTCCTAATTATCTAATGCATCTATTAAGAGCTCACAAGCCCTTAAGGTTACTCCCCTGCCAGGGGTGTTCACATTCGAATAGAAGCCAAACTCCAAGGAATTAATGTCTAATGGCAGATTTCCAGAGTAGTGATGAATCAGTTGGGGAGAGAGATTTAGGCTAGGGAGATGCTGGCCACCTGAGGGGGTCACAGAGAATCAGATGGCACAGGGCATTGGTCTGGAAGCCGCAGTGAAGGGGCTCACAAGCTCCCCTGCTCGCAGCAACCAGGAAAAGAGGGGCATCGCCTCTCTCCAAGGTCACTAGTGAGCCAAATCCCAAAGCCTGGCTCCGGCCCCGGCTCCCTCTGCCCCTCTCTGTCTGTGGCTTTGCTGCTCTGGCCTGGTTCTCTTTCTTTCTTTCTTTTTTTTTTTTAATTTTTAGGCAATTGAGGTTAAGTGACTTGTCCAAGGTCACACAGCTAGTAAGTGTCAAGTGCTTGGTCTGAGGCTGGATTTGAACTCAGGCCCTCCTGACTTCAGGGCCGGTGCTTTATCCACTGTGCCACCTAGCTGCCCCCCTGGCTCTCTTTCTACCTCTAGTTACTCCTCAGTCTCCTCAGGTGGTACAGTGGTTAGCACGCTGGACCTGGTGTCAGAAAGACCTAAGTTCAAATCCAGCCACAGACATATCTTAACTGTGTGAGCCTGGACAAGTTACTTTATCTCTGCCTGCCTTGATTTCTAGTCTATAAATTGGGGATAATAGAACCTCCAAGAGTTGTCCCGGGTGATAAAATGAGATAATCTGATTTGTTAAGTGCTTTGCAAACCTTAAGGAGGTTACACAAATACAAAGGTGAACTATTATTATTCTTTGATGAATCTGGCTGCCACTGTGGAGCTCCCTCCTTAGTCTGCCATCTTCTTCCAATCTATCTTCATTCTCCGGCTCAAAAGCATCAGCAGTTCTCTATCGCGTCTGGTACAAAACAGCCACTCTTCTGTTTGGCATTGAATGTCTTTTACAATCTGGCTCTGGAAAGGCAACTAAGCGATCCAGTGAAGAGAAGCAGGAAGACCTGAGTTCAAATCCAGCCCCAGGCACTTACTAGCTGTGGGACCCTGGGCAAGTCATCTCACCCTGCTTGCCTCAGTCTTCTCATCTGTAAAAGGAAGCGTTTGACTTGATGGGCTTCCAAGGTCCAGCTTTAAATCTATGATCACATGACCTGGGGCTGCTCTTCCTTCACATGCTTTAGGGGGCAACCACGCTGACGTACCACATGAAATCCCCCTTCCCTCCTCTGCGTCTTTGCCGAGGCCATCTCCACACCTGGAACGCGCTTCTTCTTTTCTTTCAGTCATTTCGGTCGTGCCTGGCTCTTCATGACCCCATTTAGGGTTTTCGTGGCAAGAGTTTGCCATTTCCTTCTCCAGCTTATTTTACAGGTGAGGAAACTGAGGCAAGCAGGGTGAAGTGACTGGCCCAGGGTCACACAGCTAGTAAGTGTCTGAAGCTGGATTTGAACTCAGGTCTTCCTGACTCCAGGCCCAGTGGTTTCTCCACTACACCACCTAGCTGCCCTTGTCCTTCTGGCTGTCCAAACCCTTCCTCACCTCTGCCTTTCAGAATACCAAGCTCCCCTTCAGGGTCAGTTCAGGCGCCGCTTCTTGCGGGAATCATATCCTCCCCTCTTCCCACCCGGCTCCCCATGCTACTTCCCACCTGGATCTCCTGCTCCTCTCCCCATCTCTTGTCACTGTGTTTCCCCCGCATGTGTTTCACATTTATGCATCCGTGTACATGTTCCTCTGGCCCCGCTGGCCCCTGCATACCGTAGGTGCTCAATGGATGCTTGTTGAATTGAAGAAACCCTGGCTCACTCAACCCTGGTCCCCCAAGCCTGCCAAAGCCTGTGGATCCCCAACTCGCCTGGGATCTCAGAGTTGATCCCCAACCTTGCCTGGTCCCTCTATAAAGTGGTGGCTGCTGCTGCCCAGCCCTCTCCCAATAGTATTCAGAAGTTTCATATTTCATAGACTTTCAGAGCTAGTCCAACACCTTTATCTCACAGATGGGGAAACTGAGGCCCAGAAAGGGGGAAATGACTTGGCTGAGACCACACAATTTGGCAGGTGGAGGTGGTGCCATAGTAGATAGGGCACTGGGCCTGGAGTCAGCACTATCTGAGTTCAAATCCAGCCTCAGATACTTATAGCTGTGTGACTCTGGGCAAGTCACTTCACCTCTGTCTGCCTCAGTTGAATAGAGCAGGCATTCTCGATCAGGTGTGGGTGGGTTAAGAGATCCCTTCTAGCCCTGAGGCTTTTTGTAGGACGAGGGACCCTAGGTTTGGGGCCACTAGGTCTGTCCTCCTGCTCCGGCCTCTCACTCCCTGTGGGACTTTAGACCAGAGGTGCTTAACCTTCCGAGGGTCCCTTTTTTATGTGCCGTTTCCCCCCGTTAGAGTGTAAGCTCCTTGAAGGCAGGGACCATCTTTCTTCTTCACTTATAGTGGGACCCCCAGCACTTTGCACAGCGTCTGGCACAGAAATTGCTTCATAAATGTTGGCTGGCTTGTTGACTGATGGTGGTAGCAATCTGGTGAAGTCTGGGGGGGCCCCTTCTCAAAATCACGGTTTTAACAGCATTCAATAAAAGGCATAAGGTTACAAAGGAGACCAATTATATTGAAGTTAAAACGCCGTTTTCCCCCATTCAAGTACAAAGATGTCCCCAGACCTTTGGACCCCAGATGAAGAAGAAGAAGAGGGACTGACCTTGTTCTGCTCAGACCCAGAGACAGAGCAGGGAGCAATGGCGTAAAAGTCACAGAGGGCTAGATTTTGGCCCAAGGTTTGGAAAAATCTCAAAAACCAGAGCTGTCTAACAGCAGGATGGGCTATCTCAGGAGCTGCCTGGTCATTGAAGGCTTTAAACAGCCTGGAGGAATGGATGTCGTGGAGGAGATTGATTATTAATTAGGTGCAGGTCAGGTGGGAGGGCTCCAAGGTGCCTCTGGAAGATTCTGTGATTCTGCCAACTCCTGTCACCTCCTTGGGTCTTCAGTGGGGGGGAGGAGGGTTGAACCACACCATCTTTAAGGCCCTTCCAGCTCTGAAGTCTTATTGTCTGGTGATCAAAAGGATTCTCTATCCCGTGAACGCCACTGAACCCAGCCCCACTGACAGGCCAGAGGTATTCCGAAGAGGACAAATGAGCCTCCATCTCCCCAGCTGGGGGCAGGGCACAAAGTCATCGCTCTCCAAGGAGAGCTAAGGGAGATCTGGGAAGTAGACAGTGGAATCCCGCCCTGCCCCTCTGCCCCAGTCGGTGGCCTGGGTGAGCCGGCCACCAGGAAGCCCCGAGAAGGTGAGAGAGGGAATTCAGAAAGGGGCTCTTCACCTTTGTTTGTGCCTCCCCCCTCATTTCCCTATTGGTGGGTGACCTCCATTCAGGAAGACACTCACTGTCAGCCCCGCCCTGTGTCCCCGGGCCATCAGAGCTGCCATCTAAGGCCCAGAGAAGGGAGCTGGGCCATCATCCAGAAGGCCCATGTGGCCTCACCACCCTTAGGCTAACACAGGGTAGGGTTCTTCCTGCTGGTCTCTGCAGGGGCGCTCTCTCTCCCTCTCTTTCCCTCTCCCCTCCTTTCTCTCTCTTTCTGTCTGTCTCTCCTCTCTCTCTCTTTCTGTCTCTGCCTTTCTGTGTCCCTGTCTCTCTCCCTCCCTCCCCCCTCTTTTTGTGGTCATAGAAGCCTCTTCAAGCACTGGCAGGATGACCATTTGGTGGGTGTGTTGTAAAAGGATTATTTGGGGGTATGACTTGGACTGGGGGCCCTTGTGGTCCCTTCTAGCTCTGAGTTTCCATGATGGAAGGTGGGAAGGACAGTAAAGAAAGCTGGAGCGAAGAAAAGGTTGGTGTATGTAGAACCGTATGATGTCAGAGTCCATCAGCACCTGTCAGCCCAACTCCCAGTCTCAGGGTTCTCCAGCCCCCCATCAGGCCTCACACATGTTGTCAGCTCTTTGGGGGTAGGACTCATGTCTCCATTCTCCCTCCCCTGTAGATTTAGCCACAGGACAGACCAGTAGAGAAACATTGAAAAGCACACATTGTTGGCCATCTCCAGCACTTATCCCACCCAGCTTGGCTGTTGGCCTGGGTCATCTCCTTTGGTTTAACTGTCAGGTCCCTGGAGCTCCTCTCTTCTCTAGGAACCTGGTCTTTATCTTGAGAAAGTCAAGGCAGAAGCCACTGGTAGCAATGCCACAAGAGATCTTCATCAGAGATAATGAGGGACGACAGAAGGGTCCTACCTGTGACCTGGCTTCCAGTCCCCCTTTACAAAGCGTGTGTCTTTGCCCAAGTCACCTCTTCTCTGAGCCTCAGTCTCCTTATCCATTTGGGGTCTGCACCTGTAATTTTCAATGGTGTTGGGAGCTCCCTCCACCTGGGCGGTATCTGTCCTTTGTCTTATTGGCCAACCATAAGCATTTGTTTCATGCACCAGACATTGTACTATATATATGAGAGTTGCCTGGGCCGCTGTGAGGTCAAGTCATTTACCCAGGGTCACACAGCCCTGGTTAGAGACGGCACTGGAACCCAAGTCTATCTGAACCAAGGACTGGGCTCTCTGCAACAAACCATAGAGCCTTTCTCTTCATATCCATAACATGCAAATAATGATCCCTGACCTGTCTATCTCACAAAGTCATTGTGAGGACCCAATGAGATGGAAAGCACCATGTAATTATAAATGCCAAAGAAATGAGAGAGAACCATAGTAGGAAATACGGCAGAATGAGTAAAGGGAACAGTATCTGAACCCATCGGAAGGCAGGCCCTGCCTCCTCTGCAGCGGGCCCTTGATTCAGTGCTCATTTGTGGCTTGAGTCATTGAAACAGAAGGACCACAGGTTATGCCTGAGACATTCTGGTCCTCCTTGTGCCTGTCTTGAATCTCAAGTGCACACTGGGTCAGGCAGGCACCCCGGCTCTTCCCTGGAGACTGACCACAGAACCATCTCCCTTGGAACAGGTCAAAAGAGTAAGGCATGCCCTGCCAGTCATTCTGTCACTGGAGAGCCAGGATTAGAACCCTGGCCTCCCTGGGTGGGGTCCTCGTGCTTCACTTGAGCTTAGGGGTTGGGGGTGGGGGTGGCACAGATGGGGTTGTGTCCAAATTAGGGGGCACTTGGCTTTCAATGGGGGGGGGGGGGCGGCAGCTAGTTAGATCGCAGCCTGGGGAGCCAAGAAGGCTTCCTCTCCTCCTCCAAGCTGGTTGACTGTTGGTGTTTCCTGCCTCGGTGTAGGAATTGAGGCAGAGGAAGCTGGGAGGGAGGGGAGGAGGGGCTCGACCGCACCCCTCCCGGAACAAACCGCACAGGGCCAATGGAGTTTGGAAAGTTTCTTTTGTTTCTCCCACACATTTCCGGAATTTGGGTGTTTTCCAAGACTCAGACACATTTGTTAACAAAGAGAGAGAAAGAAAAAAATAACAATGGGGGACGGGAGCCCCTTCGGCAGAGAACTGTCCCCCCAGCAAGTCCGTGGGGCCGTTCCTCCCGGCTCCCTCTCGCCCGGGATGCCACAGGTTATTGATATCTAGATAATTGTCTTTAATATATATCTGCATTTTCCTTTCCCCCACCCCCCGCCCCCCGCCCCCCAACCCGACACACACGCACAGATGCTCTTCTTTGCCAGATCCCAAATGCACGTCGCCCGAAAAATCAACTTGTCAAGAGACTTCCAAATCCTCCCCTGGGCAAGGCAGGGCAGGATAGGGCAGGGCAGGGCAGGGCAGGGCAGGACACCACTGTCTGTTTAGGGAGCATGGCCTCTGGGGCAGAGGTTTCCCTCTCTGCCCAAAGCCCTGGCCCCAAGGACTCCCTATACCCTGAACCCACCCCCGACACACTCTGTGCCCACCTTCCCCCCACCGTGACCCAAACCCCATCGAAGCCCAACCCTTTACTGCCAGCTGCTGCTGCTCCCAGGAACCAAAACATTGGAGGGGGAGGGGAGGGCAGGAAAGGAAGGGAAAACACTAGAAAAGGGAGAGGGCAGGAAAACCGGGGAGCAAAAAGGAGAAAGAGACAGAAAGGGAAGAACAGGCACAGCCAGTGAAAGGGATGGGGGAAAGAAGGAAGAAAGAGAGGAAGGGATGCAAGGAAGGCAGAAAGAGAGAAAAGGAAGGAAGGAAAATAGGAAGGAAGAGAGGCTTTAAGGGAGGAAAGAAGGAAAGGAAAGGCGTTGGGGAGGGAAGGAAAGAAGGGGAATTGAGGAAATAAACCGGACGAGAAGCAAACACTTTACAAAATCCCTGCCTGCCTTCCCGCCCCCACGCCCCCCCTAAATAAAATCACCCCCCCCTTTAAAAAAATAAATCAATCCAGGGATGGGAGTGGGAGCTCCAAGGCCTCACTCTACGGTCTCCCTTGGCCAGGGGAGGCAGCTCTGGAGACCATCATGGTGGGCAGGGAGGAAAACCGAGGAGGGGGCACCCTTTTTTTTTTCCTTTTTCCTTTTTCTTTTTTCTTTTTTCTTTTTTCTTTTTGCGTTTCCTCCTGGCGAGAGAAGTCCGAGGCGGCCCTTGGCCCGTGCCCCCGGGGGGTCGGGGTCGGGCGGGGGCTGCTGCTGCTGCTCGCTCGGCTGGCAGGGGGCCGGCGGGCACCGCGGGCCCGGGGCGGTCACACGTAGTATTCCTTGTCTTTGTTCTTCTTGGCCTTGCTGGGCGCCTTGGGCGCGGCGGGAGCCTTCTCCTTCACCACGGCGCCGTTGCTCTGGGCCGAGTTGCTGATGTAGTTGCGGCTCTGGTCCACCTGGTAGGAGCCCTCGTCGCGGTTGCGGTACTTGTACATGGCGTAGAGGAGGATGAGGATGCAGAGCGCCGCCGCCGCCACGATGCCCACCACCATGCCCGTGGTGCTACTAGACTCGCGGATCACCTCGACGGCGCCGGGCGGGCCCCGCTCTCCGGGGCCCGTGGGGTTGGCTGTGGGTACACGGGGGAAGCCGGGGGCTGCCGTCACGCCGGGGGCCAGGGCGGGGGGTGGCCGCCGTGGCTCGAAGGACGTGGGCGCCCCGGGGCCCCCAGCCGCCGCCACCGGCGGGTTCTCCAGCAGCGGCTGCAGCGGGTCGCGGTGGTTCATTTTGCCCGCCGGCAGGTTGGGGGGCAGGGCAGAGGGGGCGAGAAGGACCCCCGGCGCCCCCGTGGCCCCGTCTGTCCTGAGGTTGGGCCGGGGGGGAGGAGGCTTGCGGGGGGACAAGAGGGTGGTACGGTCCGTGACCAAGGGGAAGGTGGTGTAAAAGTCTTCGTCGTCCGTGGGGGGCAAACTGGAGTCAAAGACCTCCCCCGAGGCGAAGCCTGACGCCTCCATGGGCTCCTCGCAGTCGCTGTCATCCTGCTCCCCGCCCTGGCACGGGGGCGGCCCTGCTGGGGGCCGCCGGGCCCCGGGCGGGGGCAGGGTGTCTTGGGTGGCACCCATGCCCGTGAGGAAGGGGTAGAAAGTCGGGGGCGGGGGCACGAAGGGGGAGCGGGTGGCCACAGGAGGGGGGTCTAGGGAGTCCTCCGTAATAATAGGCAAAATTAACTCGCCTCCTAGAAGAAGAGAGAGAAGAGAGAAGAGAGGCATCAGGGGCAGCCGGCGGGGCTCGGCCTGGGCACAGAGAGAGAAACAGCAGGCCTTTGACAAAAATCGCCAATCGGTTCCAATTAGCTTGTCCGAAAAGGCTACCTAGGGCTCGGGCCCGCGCCAGCCCAGGGGGCATTACGAGGCAGCGGGCCTGCCCGCGGGAGGGACTCTGCGCTCGGAAGGGTTCTCGGTCTCTTTTTTTCTCTTTTAATTTTTGGTTCGTTTTTAAGAAACCAAAAGGAAAAAACAAGAAAAGCAAATGGAAAAGGAACGAAAAAAAAACGAAAACAAAGAACGTCTACTGGTTTGGTTATATTTTTTTTTGTCTTTTTTGTTTGTTTGTTTGTTTTTAAAACAGCTTTAAATAGGTCAACAGCAGCATTGACACAAGCCTACTGGCCGGGGTGGGGGCACTGGCTAGTTTCTCTTTTGGGGGGAGGGTGTTTGTGATCGGTTTGGTTTTTAAAAAAGAAGAGAGCATACCACGGAATTCAGGTAACTTACATCAACAAATAGGCCCAGTGATTTTAGCATGAAGAAAAAAATTACAAAACAGAGCTGTGTAAGAGGGTTCTCCCGGATGAAAATAAAGACAACTTTTTTTTTTTCTTTGCTTTGCTTTTCCTTTTCCGTACAACTCTGTCTGTCTGTCTGTCTGTCTGTCTGTCTGTCTGTCTGTCTGTCCTCTGGCCCTGGCACCTCCCTTGTTCACCACTTCTCTCCTCTCCCTGACTCTCTCCCTCTCTCCTCACTCTTAGCAGAGCTGGGCCTGAGGTCAGACCTAAGGCATTGGGGTCACTGACTGAGAGGCACTGGATTGGGATGAAACTGGGGGTCTAATGGGAGGGGAGGTGGGGTACAGGGGAGGTGTGGACACAGAGACATCAGAGTTCTGGGAGCGGCCAAGTGCCTTGGGCACAAGGGGTTAGGGATGGGGGGGATGAGACAGAAAGGACAGCTGAGTGAGCTGGGACAGCTGGGGTGTCTGGGGTACAGAGACATCAGAGGTCTGAGAGCGGCCAGGGGCCCCAGGCAAGAAAGGATAAGGGATGGGGGGCGGGGGGAAGAGGTAGGAGGGAGGGAGGGGCGAGCTAGGTGAGCTAGGGTGTCTAGGCATGTGTGCTAGGAGAATGGGGGAGAGAATGGAGGCCTGTAAGGATGAAGCCGCAAGGGCAGTCAGGGGAGGGTATTACTTGAGAAGAGGGAGTGGGCCAGGGTCATGTGTGAAGGTGAAGGCGTGTCTGAGGGTGAGGTGAACCTGGAGGGTCAAGGTCAGGAGCAGGCGAGGTGAGGTGAGAGACTATGCCTGAGCTGCCCCTGACTACCCAACCTCCTCTCCACCCACTCCCTCTACCCCTCTAGCCTCCCCCCCTCCCCAACCCCTCCCCAGAGCCCCAGCAGCTCTAGGGCTGCCCCAGGGCTTGGCTGCCTCAGGCCCTTTTAGGAAAAACAATAACAAACCAACAGAAAGAAGAAGAAAGCAAAAAAAGGAAAGGAAATATATACACACACAGCCGTCTAGGGGAGGCTCCTGCTGGGAGGTGGGGACCCAGGGGAGGTCACGGGAGGGAGGGCTCTCCCCCCACTTCCTAGGGCTGGTAACTGAAAACCCATGAATGGGTAGAGGAGTGGAGGAGGGAGCCAACTATTTGCTTGAACCCTCAGAGGAATTGCGACTCCCCACATCCCCTAGAAAGAGTGCTAGATCTCCCATCATCCCCAAGGATGAGAACCACAACTCCCATAATCCCTGGGTGAGGACTATCTCTCCTTTCATCACCTAGAATGAAGGGAGGCTATATCTCCTATCGTCTCTTAGGATGAGATCTAGACTTCTCCTCATCCCCTAGGCAGGACAACTCCTAGCCTCTAGGTTGAAGACTATATTTCTTATGATGCTCTAGGTGGATAGAGGGCTATATTTCCAATGATCTCCTCTAGATTTAAGGACTCCATTTCTCATCATCTTTCAGGTTAAACCCAAAGTAGCCAGTTCTCCCTTTACTCTGGCCAGTTTCCAGACCTTTGGCCCCAGAGACCACTAACCTGAGACCCTTAGGAGCCGAGGTATCCTTGCTTGGCTAGGGAAGGAGGTGTTGGAATTTTCACAGTCATCATTTCCTCTGGTCTTTGGCTATTTCCTCTCCAGTTCAACTCTACTGACTCTTGGGACTTACTCTCCATCTAGATTTAGGGAGCTTGGGCCCCCTCCAGGAAGCCCACCTGGATTCATCCTCCACATCCTGCCACCCTCCAAAGACAATCTCATTCTGTTCTCAAAACAGTTTAGTCAATTACAGCAAACTTTCTCCCAGCCAAGCCCTGGGATGACCAGGAGAGCTCTCAGCCCAGATCATGGGCATGGATGATGAATGCAGGAGAGTGCCTGGGAGCTCCCAGGAATGAGCTCCAAACTGTACTTTAACAGTCTTTTTCTAGTGGTTCTACATTAGCCTGACATTTGGGGACCTCTGATATTACAACCACCCCTCCGACCATCTCCACTCCAATGCAGGGCCCCCTGTGAGTGAAGCTGCCTCCTGGCTTTGGGTCTTTGTTCCTAGGAAATGCTAGCTTCCTCCCACTCCTGAGAAATAATTTACTTCCATACAAACCATATTTATCCGTCCTCAGACAGAACCTTAGAGCTAGAAGGGGCAATGGAGACCAAGAAGCTTGACCCCTTCATCCTACAGATCTGGAAACAGGCTCATACAGAAGAAATGCCTTCCCCAATCCTTCAAGAGACATCGTGCTGTTTTTGGAAAGGGCATTGGATTGGGTCAGAGGACTTGGTGGTTAGCTTGGAGAGGAGAAGACTGGGGGTGAGGAGGGAAGATATGGCAATCTTGGCTACCACATGGGAGAGAGGTCAGATTTGGATCCAACTCTGAAAACTAGGTGAAGGTTGCAGGGGGGTCAATTCAGGCTCGATGGCAGGAAACTCTTCCTTACCGTCAGAGCTGGTTATCTCAAGTAGAATGGGACGCCTGAGGAGCTAGGGGCTTTCTGCTTACTCAAGGTCTGCACATAAGGGCTGAATGATCACACTTCAAGTAGGTGGTAGATGAGATCCTTGGTCATACAGGGGTGGGGCCTCTGGGGTCCCTCCCAACTCAGAAATTCGGTGTTTATGTGATGCAAGTTCCAATTGTAGAATTATCTGCTACTTACGAGTTGTAGATGTTGTCTATGTTTGCATATCACTTTAAGCCCCTGATCTCATTAGACCTCACCACCACCATACACACACAAACACACCCTGGACCTGGACAGAGCCTGACTTGATCACTAAACTCTACATCTTATCATTTCCTGCCACGGAAAGACAATGCCAACTGCCAACCTCCTCCAAGAAGTCTGCCCAGATCACCTCAACTTCTCCTGCGCAGAAGTGTTGTCAGAGAAGACATTATCCCTTGGGGAGGGACACTCAGTGCATAGCACGGTAGCTTTAGGCATCTTTATGTGGAGGTTTCCCAGTCTTTCCCCTAGCTAGATTAAAAGTCCCTCAAGGGCAAGGGGACATGCCTTAGATTAGCATCCTCTTACCACGCGCCCACACACAGCAAGCACTTGATCTGAAAAGTGTGGGTTGGAAAAGGAAGAGTCCAAGAAGTCTGAGAAGGCCAGGAGGCCCTAAAGTTATTGGCCACAGGAGGCTTTGGTGAGAACCTACTAAGGATGGGCTGGGGAGGGGAAGGGGCATAAAAGAGGGGAGGAAATGCATTTAGAATCTGAGGACCTAGGTTCAAATTTTGCATTGGCCCTTCACTGCCTTTATAATGCTGGGCAAGAACTCTCTCTGGACCTCAGAGACAAGAGCCAGTTCCTATGAAGCTGTCCTAACCCTCACAGCTGAGAGCAATCTTCTCTCCTCAGCATTCATGCTGTCTCTCTCATGTAGCATTTACCACACAATGCCTTGCATTCTGAGGCAGCTAGGTGGCAAAGTGGATAGAGTGCTAGTCCCAGAGACAGGAGGACCTGAGTTCAAATCCAGCCACAGACATTTACTAGCTGTGTGACCCTGGGCAAGTCACTCAACCCGTTTGCCTAAAAAAAAAGGCCCCTCCTGGAGTGTTTCCTTGTTGCGGCAGAGGGGCTTACGTAGCTCAGTGAAACTGTGAGCTAAGCCATGCAGGTTTACCCAAGATGGACAGGTCATAGTGGAGAACTCTGACAAAAAGAGATGATCCACTGGAGAAGGAAATGGCAAACTATTCCAGTATCTTTGCCAAGAAAACTCGAGGGAAAAAATAGTCCATGTGGTCATAAAGAGTCAGGCCGAACAACAGCAAAACTTGTATTCTAAACATCGATGTATGAGTCCCCACCCCAACCCGGCCAAAGACAGTAGGGTCCAGTAGAAAGAGCACCAGACTGGGCTCTGAAGACCTGGGCTCAAAGCTCACACCTGACATTCATTCCCTGGGTGGCTTTGGGCAAAATCACTTACTTTTCCAAGCCTCAGTTTCCTAATTTGCAAAATGATGGGATTGGACTAAAAAACTTTTTCATTTTAAGGATAAAATTTGATATGGACAAATGTAAAGTCTGCCTTTGTTTTCCAAAGATCAACTTCTTAAGAACAAGATGGAGAAGATGTGAGCAGAGAGAAACTGGTCTGAAAAAGTTGAAAAAGGGGGTTTTAGCTCAAGTTCAATGTCAATTAATCGAGAAAGCAAATTCACTCTCAGATGCCTCAAGAGGCACTCCAGAAGTTATGGCCTCAACGTCCTCTTGCATCAGATCAGATCGATGCATTGTGGGTTGGAATTCTGGGTGCCAGATTCTAGAAATGACTTCAATAAGCTGGAGATACGGCTCAGTAGATAGTGCTGGCTTTGGAGTCAGGAAGACCTGAGTTCAGATCCAGCCTCAAGCACTTCCTAGCTGTGTGACCCTGGGCAAGTCACTTTACCACTGTTTGCCTCAGTTTCCCCAGTAGTAAAATGGAGATAAT